CTTTGCAGAGCACACTTCCTCTTCTTTGCAGAGCACACTTCCTCTTCTTTGCAGAGCACACTTCCTCTTCTTTGCAGAGCAGACTTCCTTTTCTTTGCAGAGCAGACTTCCTCTTCTTTGCAGAGCAGACTTCCTCTTCTTTGCAGAGCGCTCCTCTTCTTTGCAGAGCGCGCTTCAGCATCTTTGCAGAGCAAACTTCCTCTTCTTTGCAGAGCGCGCTTCAGCATCTTTGCAGAGCGCACTTCCTCTTCTTTGCAGAGCACTTCTTTGCAGAGCACACTTCCTCTTCTTTGCAGAGCACACTTCCTGTTCTTTGCAGAGTACACTTCCTTATCTTTGCAGAGCGCACTTCCTCTTCTTTGCAGAGCACACTTCCTCTTCTTGGCAGAGCAGACTTCAGCATCTTTGCAGAGCACACTTCGTCTTCTTTGCAGAGCAGACTTCCTTTTTTTTGCAGAGCAGACCTCCTCTTCTTTGCAGAGCGCATTTCCTCTTCTTTGCAGAGCAGACTTCCTCTTCTTTGCAGAGCGCGCTTCCTCTTCTTTGCAGAGCACACTTCCTCTTCTTTGCAGAGCACACTTCCTCTCTTTAGAGGGAGTTTCCTAACTGGATTCTATTCCACCTGGTAGGCTCCTGACACTCGTCCGTCCAGGAAACGACCTCGTCCTGCGAAGGATCGAAATCTAAAATGCTGCGTGCAGGCGTGTGGCTGCAACATAACGACCCCTAGATATGCGCCGCAGTTTGCCTCCAGGTTGCGTTTCAAGCAAGGTCAAGCTTTGCCAAAGGAAACCCCTTTTCCCTTTTTTTCGGGACCCTTTTTTGGGACCTTTTTTTTTGGGGGGGTTCTTTCTTAGCCCTGCAAAGGTTGGCTTGCTTGAAATGCAACCTGGAGGCAAATTGCAAGCGTATCTAGGGGTCGTTTTAGATTTCGAATCCTTCGCAGGACGAGACGGACGAGTGTCAGGAGCCTACCAGGTGGAATAGAATCCATTTGGGAAACTCCCTCTAAAGAGAGAGTGAGCGGCGCAAAGATGCCGTGCACGGGCGAGGCTAGTACGGCTTTGGCGTTCAGCGCCGAAAGGAATGCAGGCCACAGGCGTGCGTTCGCTGAGATCATGCATCCCGGCGGCGAGTGCAGATCTGCGCACAAGGACGCAGTGGCCTTGCCTCACCAAGGAGGCCCAACGCTACACAGCGTGCTTCTGGCCCAGCTCGCGCTCATGCGAATCGCTTGGACCGCAGCGCGCGGCATCTGCATGCCCTCCGGTACAGACAATACCGCATCAGAAGCCGGAGCGAGCAAGCTGTTCACCACAGCATGGCCTTTGCAAATTTTTGTGCAATTGGTTGCCGCACGGGCCTACAAGCACAAATGGTACTAGCCTCGCACATCCCAGGTGAGCGCAACGTGTGGGCTGATCAGCTCAGCCGCAGAAACACATCCGCATTCGACAGCAAGCCGCAAGCTTGCTTTCGTTTTCGCCCGCGTGATTTCTGGCCCCACAAATGCATGCTGTCATTGCATCCGCCCGACGCCCCATGGCGACCGGAGCATAAGAGTGCTTCGCAAACGCTCTGAAGAGGGGGTGATAGATTAGGCCGTTTGCTTGGAACCCTGAAGTGGGGGCATTTGAGAAGGCTCCGCAGAGGGGTGCAGACACGGGGAAAGGACACGCGCTGTCTTTCCCCCTGCACCCCCGAGCCTTAACTTCCAAGCAACGCCTTATAAAGACAAAGAGCATGCGCGCATGTTTGTCGGTCGTACTCTTTTATCTTTTGCCGCATGTTCCCTTTCGGATTGAAGCAGTGATCAAGATTCTAATGTTTAGGGTTTTCCTTTTCCCTTATGTCTTAATCTTGATCGAATCTTCGGACGCGTTGCCGTTTTCTGCTTCAAGCCACCTAAGGGTCATGCGTGTGGGTTTACCCCTCCATATTTGTTTGCGCCCACCCTCCCACCCTTTCAAACATGCACCCACTGCATATGAGGTGAGTGGAGCTGACCGGAAGCGCATTCAGTCCGTGGTCGCCACGGCCTGCAAGCGCAGGGGCTGCAAAAGGCCAGGCTGCAAGGCCAAGATGCAGCTTGATCTAGTGGTCCAGTTCGTCCAGCAGTACTGGGGCCTGCTGAGTGATGAGAGGGCCCACTTGCTTCGCTGCACGTACAACGATGTAGCTCCCAGCTCGACTGGAGACATCAAGATTGCAGAGCGGGCAGAGTGGACAGTGTGCGGGGAGTTGGTTTGCTTCACCCGCTTTTGCGCCATCATTGGCTGCAGCCAGCGCACTGTGCGCAACGCAATCGCCGGGCAGCCAGACCTGAGGCGGTCCCGCTCTAGCAACCTTCCTGCCCAGGCCAGGCCAGCTGAGCAGGCTATCAAGTGCGACATGTTTTTTCACCAGCTTCATGCATCCGCTGCAGAGCCAATGCCCGAAGATGAGCAGGCCTATCCCGCTGTCCAGTTTGTGGATGGTCGAGCTGTTCCAGCTGCAAAGGGGTCCAGGAGTGCAGAAGTGCAGGAGACAGACCCAGAGTCTCCTTTGGCTCCAGGGGCTCCAGTGGCTCCAGTGGTGGCTGGCAAGAAGAAGTCTGCATGCAAGGCCTCCCTGATCAACATTGACCCATGGGAGGACTGGTCCTTTGACTGGATGGAGACATCACCCCTGACACCAGCAGCGCTCAGGTGGATGCAGCTGGCGCCCCAGAAATACTGTGCGCACCATGCCCCTGCATGCAGTGGCCGCAAGTTTCAACCTTGCACCGTGTGCCGCGTTGCACACTAACCAGATGCACGCATTGCAGCCTCCAGGGCCCAGCCGCAGCTGACACCCCGGAGGCATTGTGCACAGCATGCCCCGGCATGCCGTGACTGTTTCAACAGGTCTCGACCTGGCACCGTGTGCCGCATTGCACACCAGCCGGATGCACGCATTGCATCCTGCCGCCACATGACTGTTTCGACAGGTCTCAACCTGGCACCGTGTGCCGCGTGGCACGCCAGCCGGATGCACGCATTGCATCCTGCCGCCACCAATGCCTTCGATTGTTTCACGCCTCACAGGTAACACACCTGGCGCCTGGTCGAACACGCATTGTTGACCACGGGGGCATTTGAGAAGGCTCCGCAGAGGGGTGCAGACACGGGGAAAGGACACGCGCTGTCTTTCCCCCTGCACCCCCGAGCCTTAACTTCCAAGCAACGCCTTATAAAGAAAAAGAACATGCGCACATGTTTGTCGGTCGTACTCTTTTATCTTTTGCCGCATGTTCCCTTTCGGATTGAAACAGTGATCAAGATTCTAACGCCAAGGTCATGGTTCTGAAGCAGCAAAAGAAGAGCAACTGAAACAAGGGAACTGGTGTTTGAGCTTATTCCAAACTTCGACGTGATCGAAGGCACGTTCACGGATCATGAAATCATAAGCTGCTTGAATCTCCTCGATCACGAGGGGGGCCTTGGTCGTGCATTTGCGCTCGGGGTCTCTTGGCTTCGTGCGTGTCTGACCCCCCTTTTTTCCTTTTGAGTTTTGTTGATTCTCCGTTTTCGCTCGCATGCTGCGGCTTTATGGGGCATGTGGGAAACATGGCTAAGCCATGCGGGTACCTGGCCCCGCCTTTTAATTGCATGTGCCTGCTTGTAATTAGGGAGCTCGTTTGGGTTCTCCCGCTTTTGCTCCATGCATGCAGAGTCTCTTCAGTCGACCGGCGATTATGCGGAAGGCGACATGGGGATTTTTTTTTGTTTGGGCACGGGGAAAAATGTTTTTTCGGCATCTGTTCCGACGGCGGCACGCATTCGGCGCATTCGGCATGCATTCGGCACGCATTCGGCAAGAATTTGGCACACATTTGGGGGCACCTGGCGCCCACAGAATTTGTTGGGGAAAAACGCAGCAGGTCAAATTTGGTCTTTCTGTGGACTTTGGCGCCGCAGCGTAGAACAAGCATCGCCTGCAGCTGTTGGACTCGAGCCTCCATTATTCTTTGGGGGGCAGCTTGGATTTCGTTTTAACTCTTGGGTAACGCTTCAGCGGGTGTGTCAACAGCCGTAAACCCCCGCCCGGGACTTAAGCCATGCCATTGCCTTTAGCCTTCAAGCAGTGGAACCCTTCATCTTCCACGAAGAAGATGATTTCCACGTTGCAAGCCGGTGCCATCCTGGTTTTTGCGGAACAACATTCGGACGCTGGGTGGAAGCCGGACTGTCAAACTCCAGGAAAATGGCATGGCCTGCCTGCAGAGTGCTCGTGTGCGTAGTAGCAAGTTCGCTCCTTCAATTCAACAAGATCATGTCAGTTTCCTAACATATTGCACGTTTCATGTCCAAACTTGGTGTTGCAATTGAACCGTAGCAGGTGTCAGATATTATAGAAGATACAGATTTGGCCCCAAATGGGTTCCGTATCATTCACGACTGGATTAGAACACGCCCATGAAAACGTCAGGACAATTGTAAGGTGCATTTGTTGCTTAGAGCACCACTTCGAGTGTGCGCTATGGGAATGGTGATTCATGGGCGATATTTAATTTATTTGTGTGTGTTTTTTTGCCGCATTCCTTTCCTTTGCGTGTTTGCAATTTGCATTTGCAAGTTTTATTTTTTGTTCTCTGTGTTTTATTAGAATTGGCGCAAGGCTTGGGTCTGCGTGCTTTGTTGGTTGGCGAGTCACTGTTGGGTGGTGATCTTCGCGGAGAGGCGGACAGCTGAAATGGTGCAAAGCGTGCATCAAACAATGTATGGTTTCAAGATTGCAATCTGATTGCAGTCAAACATGAACTGTTGGTTTGCATTGACGGGAACATGGCGCACCTTAGTGATTGAATGCAACGTCACTTCACTATGCATCCCTGGTCAACACTTGATTGTGATACGCACATCCACCACATGATTCATGCAAAAGGACCGTTGCGTGACATGATGCGTATCCGCTGATCTGACATCAGGCACTTGTGGTAGAGCCAAACGGGCTGTGGAGTTGCGCAGCTTGCCGCAGCAATGGGCCGCGTTCGAACAAAGACCGTGAAGAAAGCAGCGCGGGTGATCGTGGAAAAGTATTACGGCAAGCTGACCCTGGATTTCCAGGTCAACAAGAAGATTACTGAGGAGGTTGCCACCATTCCTTCCAAGCGGCTGCGAAACAAGATTGCTGGCTTCACGACGCACCTGATGAAGCGCATTCAAAAGGGACACGTGCATTGATAGTACTATTTTTGGTTTTCACAGCTGTGCTGTAGTCACGCGGCATGTTAGAATCACCGTGCGGTCTTGATTTCGCCCTGTGTTGCCTATGTTCTCAGGACCCGTGCGCGGCATTTCCCTGAAGCTGCAGGAAGAGGAGCGTGAAAGGCGAATGGAGTTCGTGCCAGACCGGTCTGAGGCCGGGATCTCATTCCATATTGACCCAACAGAGGGCGATCCACGTCGGGTGACCATTTTCTCATCACATGCCCATGTTGCAAGCCTTGAAGAGGAGTGTTCAAGGTGCAAAAGTGTACTCTAGCTGCAGCCAGACATGCCTGAGGTCAACACCGATTTCATCCAGGTCGACCCTGATACACGCGATATGCTGAAGGAGCCGTATTTGTTTTTCTGTGGGTGACTTTTACAGTGTCGTGCATGCTGGTGGATGCTGGCAATATGTTGAAGCCTTTGCGGCATTCGACGCCTCTCGTGCCTGACTTCTAGTTTCAGGAGCTGGAGATGGACCGTTTGCCGAACATTGCAACTTCCAACACTACACTGACTGGCATGTCGATCGGTCGCGGCCTAAGCTGTTGCCGTGTCTGGAAGGAAAGCATGCGAGGGCGGTTTGCTTCATTCATTCGTGCTACCGTGATACCGTTACCTTTATTCTTTTCTACATAGTCACACGCCATTTGCTGCATTCTGAAGATGCTTGCAAGCCGAAGCTGGTGTGCACATTTGACACCGCAGACTTTTGCGCACTTTTTTTTCTTCTTGCACAACACGTTGTGACTGTTGCATCACGCCATGCGTTATGATTCTGTTGTCATTCGTTAAACACTATTCTTTCAGCTCACCTAAGGCCGCAAGTGAGCGAAGAGCTCTTCCTAGTGAACCAGTTTGGCATTGCCACAGAGCCGGGTGCGGAGAAATGCTAAGCCTTGTGGCGTTTTGCTGCTTTGCGCATTTGTTGGAATGATTAACAAGTGCAGACAGAACAGCGTTTTGACTTCTGATGTTGGCAGTTTCTTACTCTGTAAAGGGTCAACATTATGTTTTTTTCTCCGAGGATTTCGTTTGGAAGCCATGCAACGGCCTTGCCCACCATGGCACTTAGTTGCCACACCTTTCATGCTGCTGAACAAGCAATGTTGGAAACAACAGGCAGTCACGCTGTACTGTATCCGCTGATCTGACATCAGGCACTTGTGGTAGAGCCAAACGGGCTGTGGAGTTGCGCAGCTTGCCGCAGCAATGGGCCGCGTTCGAACAAAGACCGTGAAGAAAGCAGCGCGGGTGATCGTGGAAAAGTATTACGGCAAGCTGACCCTGGATTTCCAGGTCAACAAGAAGATTACTGAGGAGGTTGCCACCATTCCTTCCAAGCGGCTGCGAAACAAGATTGCTGGCTTCACGACGCACCTGATGAAGCGCATTCAAAAGGGACACGTGCATTGATAGTACTATTTTTGGTTTTCACAGCTGTGCTGTAGTCACGCGGTACGTTAGAATCACCGTGCGGTCTTGATTTCGCCCTGTGTTGCCTATGTTCTCAGGACCCGTGCGCGGCATTTCCCTGAAGCTGCAGGAAGAGGAGCGTGAAAGGCGAATGGAGTTCGTGCCAGACCGGTCTGAGGCCGGGATATCATTCCATATTGACCCAACAGAGGGCGATCCACGTCGGGTGACCATTTTCTCATCACATGCCCATGTTGCAAGCCTTGAAGAGGAGTGTTCAAGGTGCAAAAGTGCACTCTAGCTGCAGCCAGACATGCCTGAGGTCAACACCGATTTCATCCAGGTCGACCCTGACACACGCGATATGCTGAAGGAGCCGTATTTGTTTTTCTGTGGGTGACTTTTACAGTGTCGTGCATGCTGGTGGATGCTGGCAACATGTTGAAGCATTTGCGGCATTCGACGCTTCTCGTGCCGGATTTCTAGTTTCAGGAGCTGGAGATGGACCGTTTGCCGAACATTGCAACTTCCAACACTACACTGACTGGCATGTCGATCGGTCGCGGCCTAAGCTGTTGCCGTGTCTGGAAGGAAAGCATGCGAGGGCGGTTTGGTTCATTCTTTCTGTCATTCATTCATCCATCCATCCATCCATCCATTCATTTATTCATTCTTTCATTCATTCACTCATTCATTCATTCATTCATTCATTCATTCATTCATTCATTCATTCATTCATTCATTCATTCATTCATTCATTCATTCATTCATTCATTCATTCATTCATTCATTCATTCATTCATTCATTCATTCATTCATTCATTCATTCATTCATTCATTCATTCATTCATTCATTCATTCATTCATTCATTCATTCATTCATTCATTCATTCATTCATTCATTCATTCATTCATTCATTCATTCATTCATTCATTCATTCATTCATTCATTCATTCATTCATTCATTCATTCATTCATTCATTCATTCGAGCATCATTGTTTCATCTCATCCGAGGCCGCAAGTGAGCGAAGAGCTCTTCCTAATGAACCAGTCTGGCATTGCCACAGAGCCGGGTGCGGAGAAATCCCTGCAAGAGTCAATGGCAGTTTGAGCACATAGCACTGAGTATTTCGGATGCCATGTCTAGGCGCAATTTCGGATGCCGGCCTTTTCATGGCTTTTCCCGGTTTGGTTCAAGGGCCGAATGCAGCGCCCTGGCGTCTTTCAAGGGAGCCATGGCGCGGGCCTTGCGGAGCCTCGGATGGAGACTGAAGTCGCAAGCGGTTTGGGTTTGGTTGTGGAAAGGGTTTCAAGGAGGGCTCCAAGTGACAACCGAACCACCAATTCAGAGAAGGGCTCAGTCATTCAGAAAGAATCCGGACCAGGAAGATCTCTACCCCTGCAAAACGCAGGGATTCTGATGACTTGGTCGCACCTTGTCAGCAGTGCAGCTTTCTGCAAGTGTCACTTGGATTCAGCTCGGTCATCCCGTGAGACGAACATTCTTGCGTATGCCCCGAGGCCGTGCAACGCGGTGAGGCGCTGCCTGGAATTGCCAGCTGTGTTTTCTGAGGTTACTGTTCTCTTTTGGCCGTTTCTGTCACGCCTCACAGGCATGCGCTTGCTGTTCCCGGCCACTGGGAAGCAGATTAGGGTACTCAACAGATGGACGGGAAGCAGCTTTCGAGTTGCTTACATTTTCGGATGCGTGTCTCTTTTTTCCCTCGCAAAGAAATGTTGGTCAAGGCACAGAGATGCACCGAGCTTGGCAGTCCGTGAGTGCGGGGCTTGGACTCAAATCACTCGGGCTTCGTTTTTTTCTTTTTTCTTCGGGACACTATCCGTGATGTTAATGGTAGAATCCGTTCTCTTGGTTTGGGTCTGTCAGCTCTCAGCTTCTCGCTCTTATTCTCACACACACACACAGTTCTGGTTGTTCAGCCAACAGCTCATGCCTTGCTTAGCTTGTGCATGGCTTACAAAATCGCCATGGCTGGCGTTTTCGAATGATTTGGGTATTCTGCTGGATCCAGACACTCATTCAAGCTGGTGCACTCCATGCTTCATGCTTGCGCAGGCATGCACCTCAGCTGCACGTGCCCAACCTTGGCCACCAGGCCATGGGCGGATTTCTAGGAAGGCCATGCTCTCAAGGTGTGAGGGCTCTTTTTCATTTCAGAGGCTGGAATGCAAATCTTGCCTTGCAGGTGGCAGCAAGGCGGGTGTTTTGAATATCAAGGAGGTATGAGATGTGTTGGTCTGAAGCCTTGGGTCTTCTTGTGAACTCGATGTTTGAGCTCTGCCAGGGGGTTCCGCAGAAGAGGTGGGCAGTGCTATTCTTGCGCGGGAGGATTCTTGGACATCTAAGAGGAATCCCACCTGCTCTGGCGTGCCCAACTCAACAGGGGCAGAAGGTTTGATTTTGCGTTTCGATTCAAGGACATGAGTCATCATGTCCCATGGCTCTGATTGAGCATCATTTGAGTGTGCACATGACATCTTTGGAGCTTCCGTTTTGAAGCGAGCTGCGTGAGCCCGGACAGGCGCGCAGCTCCCGAAGGCGCCAGAGGAGCTGCGCTATGGGACTTTCAAAGCTCTGAAAGATGGTTGCCATGACTTCTTCCAGAAACATGCTTTGCAGCTTTTTCATGAGCACACTTTTGAGCGCCACTCACTCGGCTTCCAGGAGGCCTCGCGCAGCTCGCTGAAGCCTGAGATATGCACTTTCAGTTGGCAGACATCACATCACTTCAGCAGACACAGCAAGCGTGGGTTGTGATGGAGCACGTTTCTTTGGAAGCTGCATGCTTTGCTGGAGTTCTTTCAGTCAGAGGCCGACCGATGAACAGAGTTTCTCCTGCCAGATGGGGCTGTTTGCCTTTTCCCAGGTTGGTGGAGTCTTTGAACGCAGGCCGCGTATGTTGTAACCCTGCTGGCACAGTCTGAATGGATGTCGTAAACGCATAATGTATGAATTATCGGTGTTTTTGTCACTTTGACCTCTCCCACAATCGTCCAACTCTTCAGCATGTGAAAGCGACGAGTAGATGATTCATCACACACACACACACATGCAGATTACTCCCATGAATATCAGAAGCCCGCAATGCGTGGCTTTGTGTCAGGTGAGCCAAGACCTCAGTCGCTGCCCCCGCCGCCCCTTGTGCTGCTCCTGCTGGACAAGGAGAGGGAGAGGGCGAGAGATAGAGAGAGAGAGAGAGGGGCATGCGTACGTCAGTCTTCGGCCAGCAAGACAGTTGTATGACACACAGACTCACTAGTCGCATCCGACCCTTCAATTTTAGAAGTCCCATGGAGCGCACATGGGCATTGAGAACAACAATGGTCTCCTTCTTCTTTTTGCCTGCGTCGCACCCTGGTCTCATATTGGTTTGCTTGACTGGGTGTTATCCAAAAAGAGCCAGTTGAGTTTTGTTGCAGGCTCCAGATGTTGACATGGGAAGCGGCTTGGTTGCATGAGTCCAGCCATGCGCGTGCTTGATGCGGCTGAAGCAGAATCCGAATTCGCTGTTCCTTTGGATTGTCAGTCATTTCTTATTTGGCTCGTATGAATGGAGTTTACCACAGGAAAAACTTGACATGGAAAGGCGATATCCCGCAATTCAGAGACTTGATCAGTAGGGTGCCAGAGCCACTTTTGGCATTGTGCAGTTTGACCTTGCAGCGCCGACACGCAGCCCAGGCCTCCAAAGACAGGCCGGCTGAAGTCTTTTGGTGCTGCAAGCCTGGCTCTCCCAAGCAGGCTTTTGGTAGCTTGCGCTCGAGCAAAACTGTTGCAGTGTTTGGGCTTGGTTCTCGATGAGGTTGTGCCAATTGAAGCATGCCCAGGCGGTGCTAGAACAGGCCTGTTCGGGGGAAGCAGAAGGAAGGCCTCTGGAGGCCCGCTGACGCATTCGTCCAGCTGTTGCCAAAAGGCGTAAGATGTCATGTCCCAAAAATAGGAGAGAAGGCCCTTGAGATTTCTAACATGGCATGGTTTGCTCAGTGAATTGAAGACAGTTGCTCGGATGCAAGCATTTGGCCTGATGTGTGCTTGATTTCACTTGCGGGCATAAGCAGTATCACCGTGAAAGCGGCATATCACGTATATATATATATAATATGCATGCACTTATAAACAACATATATGTATCATGTATGTGTGCATGTAGCAATTGCCTCACACGTTACATCTTCGCCCTACTCGCAGCCTCTTTTTGCGCACGAAGGTCACGCGTGCACAGCTGCATGCAGTTGTGCAAGCGCAAGAGCGATCCATAGAGGCTCGGATGAGCAGACTGAGGGAATTCAAGATGGTTCAAAGATGAAATTCCTGAGATTGGACTTCGCGCTGTCAAGCGCACAAACAATGAGTGTCATGTGCTGGGGCTGAGGTAGCGCGAGCGAAGCTTCATGCTGCCTTGCAAGCAGGCAGCCCCCAGGCTAGCGACTTGTTGAGTGGGGGAACCCGCAAGGACACACATGATTGAAGCAAAAACCAGCTTGATTGAGCGATCTGCTTTGGCGAAGTAGCGAAACCACAAGGCATGCCGAGTCTTTGAAAATGTCTCAAGGTGAGCTTGGCAGGAGCTGCAATGTGTGATCTTATGTTGGTCTAAGCCTTTGCCAACAAAGCGACACGCGGCTTAGATCATTTGTGCACTGTCATGCTTTTTGAAGACAAACTACATGCAACTGGCAACTTGGCTGGCCACGCCAAAGTCCGGCGTTGGCAGGCCGCACAAGCAGACGAGCAAGCTTGCATGCAGGCGGGCATGTGCAGGTCATGACATGGTGCCAGCTGTTACTATTCTGAAATTTTCTTTCACAGATTCACATTTTGGTAGGCAGACCGAGCAAGCACGGCGCTGCTTTCTGCAGTGATGTAAACATTAATTGTAAACGCTTCGCGTTGCCCGAATGCTTTTGGCTGGCTTTGAGGTACCGTGTTTTGGTTTGCCTTGCTTGAATGAGTGAGTTGGCGCCGAAATGCGCGGGGTGCATGTTATGGCCTCAAGGGGAGATAAATCAAGAGCCGCAGTCAGAGAGCCACAGATGGGCAGTGGACTGCCAAGCGAAGCCTGAGGTTGACCGGTTTCTAGGGACCGGCTTGAGGGGACGGAAATGGGACATGTGGGTTTGTCAAGGAACTTGGGGGACGAAGAGGTTCAGGCGAACTAGTCCTGCTCACGACGCGCAGCAAGCCAGAGCAAGACGAGCGAGCACATACAACCACATAGCACCAGGGCCTGCACAAATCAGCTTGGTTATTGATGGATAGCGGAACATTTCCTGGCAAAGAAGGTTGTTAGAAGGTTGTCTGCATCCTTTTCTGCCAATGTCGTCGATGCAGAGTCGCTCAGTGACCCTGCATGTGAAGCTGGAGCATAGACACTCGTGTGCTGCTTTGCAAGCAGAAGAGCAGCCTGCTCAGGCCAGCAGGGCAACTTTCAGGGGCCGAGTCAGACATTGGAGCAGGGCAGAAGCACTTCCAATGCTTTGCACTGTGCAGGTGTGGCAGAGTCTCTCCCATGCGGCTCAGCCGGATGAGCGACCTGCAGAGGCCTGATAGCTGTTGCTGAACCGCTGAAGATGCTGGTTTTCCTGTGTCGAGAAGAAGTCTTTGTTAGTTGTGGAGGAGGGCCGAAATGTTGTTTTCTGATGCGCTGGGATGCTTTCCAGGCGGCACGAACGCACTCCTGCGCAGTGCAAGCGGACGAGCGGCCTGAGGCGCGCAAGCATTTCATGCTGAGTGTGTGGATTGTGATACAGTCAACAAGATATCAAGGGAATCTGAATCTAAACCATGTCAGCCGGACTTTTGGTTTAACACCTGGCTTATAATACAGATATAGTGACACCATGTCGATGGCAGTCAATGGTTTGCCAGAGAAAGTACGTGTCGTACAGTCTCCGAGAGGCATGTTGCATTTCAGTCCTACAGTGCCGTCACTGCCAATGCTTGTTGCTTTGTCTACGTTGCCGACGTATGTTTGACCACAGGAAGGCACACAGAAACGACACGAAGGGGTTTTAAAATCAGATGGAGCAGGGCTTGTGAGACATGCTTTGCTTGGATTGACAGGAGTGCTTTCAAGTACATGACTGGATGCTTTGCAGTGTGCAGGTGTCTCGGAGGCACTCCCATGCAGCTGAAGCAGACGAGCGACCTGCAGAGGCCTGACGGCTGTTGCTTAACCGCTGAAGACACTAGTACTGGTTTTTGCCTCCTCCAGGAAGAATAATTGTTCGTTTTGGAGGGCTAAATGTTGCATTCTGATACATGCGCTGGGATGCGTTTCTCAGGTGGCACGAAGGCACTCCTGCGCTGTACAAGCGGACGAGCGGGCTCAGGCTGGTAAGCATTCAATGTTGTACCATGTGTGAGTTTGTGGTTTGCAATGAACACGATATCAAGGGAATCTGCAATATGTCAGCCAGATTCTTGGTTTGATGCCTGATTTAGAGATTGACCTTGAGCACAGTGCTGATGACAGTCCATGGTTTGCCAGAGAAAGTACGTGTTGCACAGTCTCCATTTGGGATGTTGCATTTTCCGCAGTCCTACAATGCCGTGAGATCGACAGGCGTCAGGAGGTCAATGACCAGCGACCCCGCAGGTGGAGCATAGACATTCCTGTGCTGCCTTCCAAGCAGAAGAGCGGCCTGCTCAGGCCGGGAGGGCAAGTTTCGAGGGCCTGAGGCATAGGTGAAGGGGTCTTAAAATCAGATGGAGCAGGGCTTGTGAGACATGCTTTGCTTGGATTGACAGGAGTGCTTTCAAGTACATGACTGGATGCTTTGCAGTGTGCAGGTGTCTCGGAGGCACTCCCATGCAGCTGAAGCAGACGAGCGACCTGCAGAGGCCTGACGGCTGTTGCTTAACCGCTGAAGACACTAGTACTGGTTTTTGCCTCCTCCAGGAAGAATCTTTGTTCGTTTTGGAGGGCTAAATGTTGCATTCTGATACATGCGCTGGGATGCGTTTCTCAGGTGGCACGAAGGCACTCCTGCGCTGTACAAGCGGACGAGCGGGCTCAGGCTGGTAAGCATTCAATGTTGTACCATGTGTGAGTTTGTGGTTTGCAATGAACACGATATCAAGGGAATCTGCAATATGTCAGCCAGATTCTTGGTTTGATGCCTGATTTAGAGATTGACCTTGAGCACAGTGCTGATGACAGTCCATGGTTTGCTAGAGAAAGTACGTGTTGCACAGTCTCCATTTGGGATGTTGCATTTTCCGCAGTCCTACAATGCCGTGAGATCGACAGGCGTCAGGAGGTCAATGACCAGCGACCCCGCAGGTGGAGCATAGACATTCCTGTGCTGCCTTCCAAGCAGAAGAGCGGCCTGCTCAGGCCGGGAGGGCAAGTTTCGAGGGCCTGAGGCATAGGTGAAGGGGTCTTAAAATCAGATGGAGCAGGGCTTGTGAGACATGCTTTGCTTGGATTGACAGGAGTGCTTTCAAGTACATGACTGGATGCTTTGCAGTGTGCAGGTGTCTCGGAGGCACTCCCATGCAGCTGAAGCAGACGAGCGACCTGCAGAGGCCTGACGGCTGTTGCTTAACCGCTGAAGACACTAGTACTGGTTTTTGCCTCCTCCAGGAAGAATCTTTGTTCGTTTTGGAGGGCTAAATGTTGCATTCTGATACATGCGCTGGGATGCGTTTCTCAGGTGGCACGAAGGCACTCCTGCGCTGTACAAGCGGACGAGCGGGCTCAGGCTGGTAAGCATTCAATGTTGTACCATGTGTGAGTTTGTGGTTTGCAATGAACACGATATCAAGGGAATCTGCAATATGTCAGCCAGATTCTTGGTTTGATGCCTGATTTAGAGATTGACCTTGAGCACAGTGCTGATGACAGTCCATGGTTTGCTAGAGAAAGTACGTGTTGCACAGTCTCCATTTGGGATGTTGCATTTTCCGCAGTCCTACAATGCCGTGAGATCGACAGGCGTCAGGAGGTCAATGACCAGCGACCCCGCAGGTGGAGCATAGACATTCCTGTGCTGCCTTCCAAGCAGAAGTACATGACTGGATGCTTTGCAGTGTGCAGGTGTCTCGGAGGCACTCCCATGCAGCTGAAGCAGACGAGCGACCTGCAGAGGCCTGACGGCTGTTGCTTAACCGCTGAAGACACTAGTACTGGTTTTTGCCTCCTCCAGGAAGAATCTTTGTTCGTTTTGGAGGGCTAAATGTTGCATTCTGATACATGCGCTGGGATGCGTTTCTCAGGTGGCACGAAGGCACTCCTGCGCTGTACAAGCGGACGAGCGGGCTCAGGCTGGTAAGCATTCAATGTTGTACCATGTGTGAGTTTGTGGTTTGCAATGAACACGATATCAAGGGAATCTGCAATATGTCAGCCAGATTCTTGGTTTGATGCCTGATTTAGAGATTGACCTTGAGCACAGTGCTGATGACAGTCCATGGTTTGCCAGAGAAAGTACGTGTTGCACAGTCTCCATTTGGGATGTTGCATTTTCCGCAGTCCTACAATGCCGTGAGATCGACAGGCGTCAGGAGGTCAATGACCAGCGACCCCGCAGGTGGAGCATAGACATTCCTGTGCTGCCTTCCAAGCAGAAGAGCGGCCTGCTCAGGCCGGGAGGGCAAGTTTCGAGGGCCTGAGGCATAGGTGAAGGGGTCTTAAAATCAGATGGAGCAGGGCTTGTGAGACATGCTTTGCTTGGATTGACAGGAGTGCTTTCAAGTACATGACTGGATGCTTTGCAGTGTGCAGGTGTCTCGGAGGCACTCCCATGCAGCTGAAGCAGACGAGCGACCTGCAGAGGCCTGACGGCTGTTGCTTAACCGCTGAAGACACTAGTACTGGTTTTTGCCTCCTCCAGGAAGAATCTTTGTTCGTTTTGGAGGGCTAAATGTTGCATTCTGATACATGCGCTGGGATGCGTTTCTCAGGTGGCACGAAGGCACTCCTGCGCTGTACAAGCGGACGAGCGGGCTCAGGCTGGTAAGCATTCAATGTTGTACCATGTGTGAGTTTGTGGTTTGCAATGAACACGATATCAAGGGAATCTGCAATATGTCAGCCAGATTCTTGGTTTGATGCCTGATTTAGAGATTGACCTTGAGCACAGTGCTGATGACAGTCCATGGTTTGCCAGAGAAAGTACGTGTTGCACAGTCTCCATTTGGGATGTTGCATTTTCCGCAGTCCTACAATGCCGTGAGATCGACAGGCGTCAGGAGGTCAATGACCAGCGACCCCGCAGGTGGAGCATAGACATTCCTGTGCTGCCTTCCAAGCAGAAGAGCGGCCTGCTCAGGCCGGGAGGGCAAGTTTCGAGGGCCTGAGGCATAGGTGAAGGGGTCTTAAAATCAGATGGAGCAGGGCTTGTGAGACATGCTTTGCTTGGATTGACAGGAGTGCTTTCAAGTACATGACTGGATGCTTTGCAGTGTGCAGGTGTCTCGGAGGCACTCCCATGCAGCTGAAGCAGACGAGCGACCTGCAGAGGCCTGACGGCTGTTGCTCAACCGCTGAAGACACTAGTGCTGGTTGACGGCTGTTGCCTGAAGACACTCTGGTTTTTGCCTCCTCCAGGAAGAATCTTTGTTCGTTTTGGAGGGCTAAATGTTGCATTCTGATACATGCGCTGGGATGCGTTTCTCAGGTGGCACGAAGGCACTCCTGCGCTGTACAAGCGGACGAGCGGGCTCAGGCTGGTAAGCATTCAATGTTGTACCATGTGTGAGTTTGTGGTTTGCAATGAACACGATATCAAGGGAATCTGCAATATGTCAGCCAGATTCTTGGTTTGATGCCTGATTTAGAGATTGACCTTGAGCACAGTGCTGATGACAGTCCATGGTTTGCCAGAGAAAGTACGTGTTGCACAGTCTCCATTTGGGATGTTGCATTTTCCGCAGTCCTACAATGCCGTGAGATCGACAGGCGTCAGGAGGTCAATGACCAGCGACCCCGCAGGTGGAGCATAGACATTCCTGTGCTGCCTTCCAAGCAGAAGAGCGGCCTGCTCAGGCCGGGAGGGCAAGTTTCGAGGGCCTGAGGCATAGGTGAAGGGGTCTTAAAATCAGATGGAGCAGGGCTTGTGAGACATGCTTTGCTTGGATTGACAGGAGTGCTTTCAAGTACATGACTGGATGCTTTGCAGTGTGCAGGTGTCTCGGAGGCACTCCCATGCAGCTGAAGCAGACGAGCGACCTGCAGAGGCCTGACGGCTGTTGCTCAACCGCTGAAGACACTAGTGCTGGTTTTTGCCTCCTCCAGGAAGAATCTTTGTTCGTTTTGGAGGAGGGCTAAATGTTGCATTCTGATACATGCGCTGGGATGCGTTTCTCAGGTGGCACGAAGGCACTCCTACGCCGATCAAGCGGACGAGCGGGCTCAGGCTGGTAAGCATTCAGTGTTGAATGTTGGAGTTTGTGGGTTGGAAATCAACGAGATATCAAGGGAATCTATGACCTGCCACCCGGATTCTTGGTTCAAAGCCTGGTTTACATGATGAGGAATCTGTTGGTCCATGGCTTGCCAGAGAAAAAGTGCATCGTACAGTCTCCGAATGGCACGTTGCATTGTTGCAGTCTTACAATGCTATTGTGTGCAAGGCTGGTTGTTTTGTTTACGTATGTTTGACCACAGAGAGGCACAAACTAGAGAAGCAACACAGGCGTCAGCAGGTCAACGACGAGCGACTCTGCAGGTGGAGCATAGACATTCCAGCGCTGCCTTCCAAGCAGAAGAGCGGCCAGCATGGCAAGTTTCAAGTTTAAGGTGGTAACGCGTGTAACGCACCCTGCGTTTTCGGCAACTCACCCCGGCCGCGCAAACCTCAAAACGTGATTTCGCCTAGGCGAAACCCACGTCGCCTGCCAAAAAACATGTTCCTGATGCCTCAAGTCCTCGACGGTGTTGTCGTTTTGGACCTGACATGCGTGTCGCCTAGGCGAATTCACGTTTTTTGAAACAAGCAGCAAAACAAAACTTTGTTTTCGCAACGCTTGTATACATCAGGCCAGCATACAGCTCAGGCCGACATGCACAACTTGCCTGGCTGCGTGGATGCAGTGCTCAGTGGGGTCACTTGAGCGGGTGTGCTTCCCATTTGGCAGGGCGTGGATACAGCGCTGAGTGGGGTCACTTGAGCGGGTGTGCTTATCATCTGGCAAGGCGTGGATGCAGTGCTGAGCGGGGTCATTTGAGCGAGTGTGCTTATCATTTGGCAGGGCGTGGGTACAGGTGCGCGAGGCGTTGCGCGGAGCGATGAAATTGGCGAACAAACGAACCTGTGAAGTACTCCTCTGACATGCCAAAAAATGCTAAACGTGTAAAATGTCAAAAAGGCTAAACGCAGGACGCGGTCTGGGCGTTCTCACCAAGTTGAAGTACATGACTGGATGCTTTGCATTGTGCAGGTGTCTCGGAGACACTCCCATGTAGCTGAAGCACGCGAGCGACCTGCAGAGGCCTGACGGCTGTTGCTTAACTGCTGCAGATACTAGTACTTTTTTCCGCCTCCAGAAAGAGTCTTTGTTAGTTGCGGATTTCGGGCCGAAAGTTGTGTTTTGATGCATGCGCTGGGGTACTTCTCAGGTGGCACGAAGGCACTCCTACGCTGTGAACGCGGACGAGCGGGCTCAGGCTGGCAAGCATTCAATGTTGTACCATGTGTGAGTTGTGGTACAATCGACAAGATCTCTAACCTGTCAGCCTGCTTTTGGTTAAATGCCTTGTTTAATGAATGATGAGCCTGTTAATACAGAAATAACTTAGGCACAGTCGCGATGCCGGTTCATGGTTTGCCAGAGAAAGTACGTGTTGCACAGTCTTCGTTTGGGATGTTGCATTTCTACGGGCCTACAATGCCGTTGGGTCGAATGCTTGTTGTTTTGTCTGCCTTGCATAACACAAATGCTTGACCACAGAGAGGCACAAACTAGAGAAGCAACACAGGCGTCAGGAGGGCAATGACGAGTGACCCCGCAGGTGGAGCATAGACATTCCTGTGCTGCCTTCCAAGCAGAAGAGCGGCCTGATCAGGCCAGAAGGGCAAGTTTCGAGGGCCTGGGGCATAGGTGAAGGGGTCTTAAAATCAGATGGAGCAGGGCTTGTGAGACATGCTTTGCTTGGGTTGACAGGAGTGCTTCCAAGTACATGACTGGATGCTTTGCAGGTTCGCTTAGGCACCCCGAAAACGGCTCGCTTAGGCACCCCGTTTTGGATCGCTTGAGCGGCCCGTGAGGTGCCCGAGTGATCCTTTTCTTGGGGTTGTCGGGTCAAGGGGCCGGAGGTCGAAATGCACTTTTCCCCGCAAGTGATCCGAAATCTGGGGTGCGTAAGTGATCCGCGGTCCATTTTGGCCGGTGGGGTGCCCAAGTGATCGCAGGTGGGGGTGCGCGAGTGATCCGGGCGTTTTTCGGGGTAACCTTTCCTGGATATAAGGTATAATCGGTATAATTCTATCATGGTGATTCATGATTTTTATGTGTCTCAGAGGGCCTTCGGCATTTGCCGCCGCCCATGATGATGATATTAGCCATTGGCTCTTGCAATGTTGGGGCCACGGGGAATTTATGCGTATCCGCAAGTTTTTTTTTATGAGTGCAACTGCATACGCGCTGCTTTCTTTGACTACCTGCAGAATTGACAGGCGCAGCAGAAACCCTAAAGAGATGTGTTGACTACCTGCAGAAGTGACAGGCTAAAGTCATGTGTTGACTACCTGCAGAAGTGACAGGCCAGAAACCCCAGAGTGATGTGTGACAGGCGCAGTAGAAACCCTAGAGTGATGTGTTGACTACCTGCAGAAGTGACAGGCGCAGCAGGAACCCTAAAGTGATGTGTTGACTACCTGAAGAAGTGACAGGCGCAGCAGAAACCCTAAAGTGATGTGTTGACTACCTGCGGACAGGTGCAGCAGAACCCTACAGTGACGTGTTGACTACCTGACGAAGTGACAGGCGCAGCAGAAACCCTAAAGTGATGTGTTGACTACCTGAAGAAGTGACAGGCGCAGCAGAAACCCCAAAGTGATGTGTTGACTACCTGAAGAAGTGACAGGCGCAGCAGAAACCCTAAAGTGATGTGTTGACTACCTGCAGAAGTGAGAGGCGCAGCAGAAACTCCAAAGTGATGTGTTGACTGCCTGCAGAAGTGGCAGTCGCAGCAGAAACCCTAAATCCTAAACCCTAAACCCTGAACACTGAACCCTAAACCCTGAACACTGAACTCTAAATCCTAAACCCTAAACCCTAAGCAGACAGGCGCAGCAGAAACCCTGAAGTGATGTGTTGACTGCCTGCAGAAGTGACAACCAGAAACCCTGAACCCTAAACCCTAAACCCTAAGCAGACAGGCGCAGCAGAAACCCTAAAGTGATGTGTTGACTTCCTGAAGAAGATACCCTGATCGCCCCCCCCCCCCCAATCACCCCGCCCCCCCCCCCCCCCGCCCATCATGAAGGTGAGAAGTGTAATGATAGAACTAATTCCCAAATTGGGGTGCCCAACTGAGAGATTTTGGGGCGCCTCAGCGATCCGTTTTTTTGCACAAAAATTGCACTTTTACCCTCAATAAGTTGTGTTTTGGGGTGCGTAAGTGATCCAATTTCGATTGGACAAATGCCTCTTGGGGTGCCCAAGTGATCTGGCATGGTCAAGTGAGCCGTTTTGGGGTGCCTAAGTGATCCTCTTACCCTTTGCAGTGTGCAGGTGTCTCGGAGGCACTCCCATGCAGCTGAAGCAGACGAGCGTCCTGCAGAGGCCTGACGGCTGTTGCTGAACTGCTGCAGATGCTGGTATTCCCACTTCCAGAAAGAATCTTTGTTCGATTTGGAGGAGGGCCGAAGGTTGTGTTTTGATGCATGCGCTGGGATGGTTTTCTCAGGTGGCACGAAGGCACTCCTACGCTGTGCAAGCGGATGAGCGGGCTCAGGCTTATAAGCATTCAATGTTGTACCATGTGTTAGTTGTGGTATAATCAACAAGATCCAAAAGGAATCTATAACCTGTCAGCCTTCTTTTGGTTCACTGCTGCCTCGTTTAACGAATGATCAACCTGTTAGTACAGAAAGATCTCAGGCAATTGATAGGAGTGCTTCCAAGTACATGACTGGATGCTTTGCAGTGTGCAGGTGTCTCGGAGGCACTCCCATGCAGCTGAAGCAGACGAGCGTCCTGCAGAGGCCTGACGGCAGATGCTGGTATTCCCGCTTCCAGAAAGAATCTTTGTTCGTTTTGGAGGAGGGCCGAAGGTTGTGTTTTGATGCATGCGTTGGGATGCGTTTCTCAGGCACGAAGGCACTCCTACGCCGATCAAGCGGACGAGCGGGCTCAGGCTGGTAAGCATTCAATGTTGAGTGTTGGAGTTTGTGGGTTGCAATCAACGAGATATCAAGGGAATCTATGACGTGTCAGCCTGCTTTTGGTTCAATGCCTGTTTTAAAGAATGATCAACCTGTTAGTTCATGGTTTGCCAAAGAAAGTACGTGTTGCACAGTGTCTCCGTCTGGAATGTTGCATTTCTACAGTCCTACAAATGCGTTGGGTCAAATGCTTATTGTAAACGCTTCGCGTTGCCCGCCTCGGCCCAGCCTAGTTTGAGGGAAGGGTCAGGAACACCGAAATCCAGTGCTGGGAACGCACCAGTTCGCCCGTGCTAGTTCGATGTTCGGAAGCCGTCCTGCTCGGACAGTCTCGGGCAGCTTGGCTGGTCCTTGCTTGCGTGGGTTGTTGGTTGAGCTGGGCCTGAAGCTAGTTTACGGCGGCCGCACTGAGGGGGCTGGGCTATGGCTGGGCTGGGCCTGAGGCCAGTTTCAGACACGTCAGACAGGCCTGGCCAGCAGGCGGACTGGGCTGGGCTAGACGCTAGTTGAGCCCAGGCTGGTGAGGGCAGGCTGGGCGCTAGATAGGCTGAGGCCTGCGAGTCTGAAACAGGGTGTTGGTTGGGCTGGGCCTGAAGCCAGTCTCAGTTTCTGGCTGCTGTTGGTTGCGCCTGGAACTTCGGCTGGGCGGGCTGGGCTGAGCTGTGCTTGGGCGGGTCGCTGGATGGGCAAGGCCTGTCTCATACACACTTGGGCCTGAGGCTGGGTAGCGAGTTGCTGGCTGGAGCAGGAGGTCAAGGCCTGGCCAGCCTGGGCTGTACGCTGCTGGTTGAACTTGGCTGGGCGGGCTGGGCTGAGCTGTGCTTGGGCGGGTTGCTGGATGGGCAAGGCCTGTTTCATACACACTTGGGCGTGACGAGTTGCTGGCTGGGCTGGGCCTGAGGCCAGTCGCAGACACGTAAGACACGCCAGGGCGGGCTGAGGGACTGTCTCAGGCTGGCAGAACTGCGCCGAAGGGGCTGGGGCCAGGAGGTCAAGGCCTGGCCCTGGGCTGAGCTGCTTGGGCAGCCGGCTGGGGCACGTCAGGCTTTGTGGCTGGCGTAGCTTGAGACCAGTCTCAGACACATGAGACTGGTCGTTGGCCTGAGGCCAGTCTCAGACAAACCTGACCTTGGCACGCTGGGCTGAGCCTGCTGGTGGGCTGGGAGCTTGGGCCGGCCTAGGGCTGGCATGCCCTGAGATGCGCCGGGGCCTGCACTGGGCAGGCTGGGGTTGCTGGTTGGGCTGGGCCTGTGAAGCTAGTCTCAGCCACAAGGCTGCGAAGCCATGGGTGGGCTGCCGGGCAGCCGGACTACGCTGCTGGTTGCGCCTGGAACTTGGGCTGGGCGGGCTGGGCTGAGCTGTGCTTGGGCGGGTTGCTGGATGGGCAAGGCCTGTTTCATACACACTTGGGCCTGAGGCCGGGTGGCGAGTTGCTGGCTGGGCTGAGGGACTGCCTTGGCATACTTTGAGACCAGTCTCAGATTGCTGGGCTGGGAGCTGGGGGCCGGCCTAGTGGCTGGCATGGCTGGGCAGGCTGGGCTGGGCTTGCTGGGGGTTGCTGGTTGGCCTTGGCCTGTTTCAGACAAGCTTGGGCCTGAGGCTGGTGGGCTGGGCTGACAGGCCTGGCCAGCAGGCGGGTTGCTGGTTGGGCTGGGCCTGAGCCTAGTCTCAGACACGTCAGACAGGCCTGGCCAGCAGGAGGTCATGGACAAAAAAGCATTTTTTTGGTGCCTGAGGCATAGGTGCTTGAAATTGAAATCAGATGGAGCAGGGCTTGTGAGACATGCTTTGCTTGGATTGACAGGAGTGCTGCCAAGTACATGACGATGCTTTGCAGTGTGCAGGTGTCTCGGAGGCACTCCCATGCAGCTGAAGCAGACGAGCGTCCTGCAGAGGCCTGACGACTGTTGCTTAACTGCTGCAGATACTAGTACTGGTTTTCCCGCTTCCAAAAATAATCTTTGTTCGTTTTGGAGGAGGGCTAAATGTTGCGTTCTGATGCATGCGCTGGGATGCTTCTCAGGTGGCACGAAGGCACTCCTACGCTGTGCAAGCGGACGAGCGGGCTCAGGCTGGTAAGCATTCAATGTTGTACCATGTGTGAGTTTGTGGGTTGCAACAAACGAGATATCAAGGGAATCTACGACGTGTCAGCCTGCTTTTGATTCAATGCCTCGCAGAAACAACTTAGGCACAGTGCCGATGACAAAAGTACGTGTTGCACACTCTCCGTTTGGGATGTTGCATTTCTACAGTCCTACAATGCCGTTAGGTCGAATGCTCGTTGTTTTGTCTGCCTTGCATAACACGAACGTTTGACCACGGGGAGGCACACAGGAGAACCGACACAGGCGTCAGGAGGTCAATGACGAGTGGCCCTGCAGGTGGAGCATAGACATTCCTGTGCTGCCTTCCTAGCAGAAGAGCCGCCTGCTCAGGCCAGAAGGGCAAGTTTCGAGGGCCTGAGGCATAGGTGCTTGAAATTGAAATCAGATGGAGCAGGGCTTGTGAGACATGCTTTGCTTGGATTGACAGGAGTGCTGCCAAGTACACTTTGCAGTGTGCAGGTGTCTCGGAGGCACTCCCATGTAGCTGAAGCAGCTGAAGCAGACGAGCGTCCTGCAGAGGCCTGACGACTGTTGCTTAACTGCTGCAGATACTAGTTCGTTTGGGATAAATGCTGCGTTCTGATGCATGCGCTGGGATGCTTCTCAGGCGGCACGAAGGCACTCCTACGCTGTGCAAGCGGACGAGCGGGCTCAGGCTCGAAGACCGACAATCACGGGACAGGGAATGATACTATAACCCACTAAAGACACTAGGGCGTATGACGTGACATAAGCCACAATAAAACATCTGGATATGAGATGGCCAGCACCAACCATGAATAGGCACGGCTTTTGTTTTGTTGGTCTACATGGGTTTTGTTTATCACTTACATAGTACAACACATTTTCTAGTAGTCTTTTTGGACCCGAGACATGCGAACGCAAGTTACACTGAAACTCAAATTGATTTGCAGTCAGAGCCACTGTGAAGTGCCCGGTGCTTTTGCCAAAGGCATGGCAGCTATTGACGCCCAGTGACTTTGTCAAATAATTGCGCCGTGAGGCTGTGCCAAGCGACTGCGCCAAAAGTCTTCGCCAAGTAACTCTGCCGGGCGTCAGCTGTGTGTATTTGGGTCAGGTGTGGCTTGAGGAGGATGAGGACTCGGTCGGAGAGGACGAGGCAGAGCTGCCGTAGCTGGGGAACGGAGATGCTTGCTGTTCATCGTTAAGGCAGTGTTGAAAGGACCGCTACATTGGCATGGAGAGTCCAGACATTGCGCAACTCTCAGGTGTCAGTTAGGTGTTTCAATGACTCAATTTGCACACTTTGCACAGGCTGGGATTTCTTTGAAGCGAATTCGACAACAATGTGAGTCTGGAAGTTCATGGTGATATTGCGAGCAACCCTTTGGCGACTAAGCTATGATATTTGAAAGCAACATGATGTCAGATCAGTTAAGAGACACCCGTTTCCTTCTTCTCGAGCCTGTTCAGTAATTTGGCTGGTCAGTATGCCTTCCTTGGTACGATGTATGAGTGATACCGACTGATACCTCCTACTTTAAGAAGAAGCTTGCCACGTGGCCAGGGGTACTGGGGTGCTCTTGCAATACATTTGGATGAGCTTCATTGCCTCAAGCCCCAAGACAGGCGCTGTCGCCTCCATGGGCACCATCACCCAGCTCTAGCTCATCAGGCGCCTGACACCCCACGACCGATCTAATCCCTAGTTTCCACTGGGGTTCGTGTCGTGCCGTGCAGTGAGGAGTATGCTGTGACTCCCGAAGTTCATCTAAACATGTTGCCAACGAGTGTCGGCTTGTTATTTGAATGGTGGAAGTACAGCGCAAGAATGTGATCTCATGCTGGGGCCTGGATGACCGCATGCAGTTTCGCAGCATGCTACTTGTTTGACTTTGCGTCTCTTGCTTGTCATGTGAACAAGAGATTCATTCTGGGAACGCGTTTAAGGTGAACACAAACTATGACAGTGCGAAGCAGCATGATTCTTAGCATTTGGATTCATTTGGATAGTACTCAATATTGAATCACAAGTGTAGAGCAACGAAGGGTGCAACTACCGCCTTTTCCAACCCTGACGAAGCTTCACCTGCTCGAACATGCATGTCGCAGGGCCAGCTTTGACCTCTGCGTTTGGGGCTTGCCAGTTCACCGATCCGATGATGCTTTGGAACCCAAGAGATCTCATCCACGTCTCCGGTCCGGTGGCGGAGAAAGTTCTGCAGCTCGCTTTGCAGGTGAGCTGCAGCAGGCGGCGTGGGAAGATGAAATTCAGGGAGTACAAGGATTGAACTGTTTGTGGTCGGAATGAATGATTGTGGTCCAACACACGGCACCATTGCCTGAGAATGTGTTATTCATTGTGGCTGAAGGTTGATCCAAGGCTTGACGCATGGTTTCAGCAACAATCTGTCATGTGAATTTCAGGAAACTTGCCGTGCCTGTGCCAGTTATAGGACCTCTGGCAACCGAAACGCCAGAACGTTGGGATATCGATGTCGTGGAGCCACTTACACACTTGCCCTAGACGTGCGGCGAGGGATTTGCAAGGGCTCTTGCCTTGCGTGGATCATGTGCTTGGACGCTCAAGCGGCGGGATGTGAGATGCGGTTGGCCTTCGATAGCGTTGGCTCAGGCAGAAGCTGCACGGTCCGCACGGAGTTTTTGGTTTGGCCTTCGCAATGGCACGGCGTCCTGCTGCACTGCCACTGCTGATCCTGGGTTTGGTGGTGTCTTGGCGCATGAGGCCGCTTGAGGCATGTAACTGGAACTCTGGGTTGAAGACACGCTGAGCGTAGTATTGGCCGAGCAGTTTTCCCTGAGGGCAGCTCCTTCGAGGCAGAATGAGTAGCGACCCCCGAGAACTTTCGGATGAGAGGCGATCTGAGTTTACAGCTGTATGGCCGGGACACCGGTCATCACACAGGACATGACTTGGCGAGATATGCAAAGAAGGCTAGCCTTTCTGGCACAGGTGTCACTGCCTGTTGATATCAGACTGAACTCAGGATCGGAACTATATTCAGCATTTGTTTGTGCTACTCTGCAAGCCATGTTGTAATTGTTTGCCGCATATTCGTGCCAGCTTGCGTTCTTGTTTGATCAGACTTTTTGGAACAGTGTCGATTCATCGCAGCCAGGGGCACTCCAGGCTCTTGTTGGAGCTCAGTCACACGGTCGGGTGAATCAAATGGGTCAACATTATCGACTCACCTGAGCGAGGCGTACAACCTCTCACAGTTCGCGCCTGGATTTGTGTCGCCTGTGCTAGGCCAGGCATCTGGGCCCGCAGTTGGTTTGCTCATACCTGCTGTCGATGTGTTTCGTCTGCAAAAGGGGCTGCATTTGAGCCAGCGAGTTCAGTATCAGTGTCAGCTTTTGATAGATCCGAAGTCGAGCTCTCGTCCAGGCCGCAGCCGGGCACCAGTTGTTTCCCGTCTGGCAGAGCCAGAGGTGGTGGATGTGGAGGTCTCGGAGTTAGTGAAGCTCGAAGAGGACATCGAGGCGCAAGTCGGCAGTTGGCTTTCGATGGCAGAAGCCATGCTGCCAGGCTTTGCTCTCTGCTTTCCTTGCTTTGTGTCTTCGCGCCTCCCAAGCAATTTAAACTCGACTGCATTCCGGTCAAGAACTATAATGATGAACTCCAAGAGAGTTATGCGATCTTTTGCCGAAAAGTTAAGCTGCTGGCAACCCAGGAGAGAGACTTGCACACTTGTTTTGATAAGTTGCTCTGAAACAGCAAGTACCAGGCGCAGATTCAGGAGGCTGAGAAGAATGAGGACGGCAACAGCAATAAGTCGTCAAATGATTGTTTCCCCCATGGTTTTCCTTTGTCTCTGACTTTGTGAAGGAAGAATGAAGTTGTCCTCTAGTCCCTGACCGAATAACATCCTTCTCTCCAAAGCATACTGCAGGGCCTCGTGTATTCTGATATTCCTGGAGTGTGTTTGTCATAAACATATTGGCAGAGCCAGCCCTCCACTGCCAGGACCAGTCGAAAATGACACGGCTCAGCCGCTTGTTGGTGCTAACGCGAAGCAGCGCTGCAGCTACCGCATGGCAAACCACCAAGGCGCTGCGGCTGCCTGGCTGGAGAGAGTGCTATGGAGTGCTATGGTCACAACCTACCCTCTTGCCTGTAGCGGGGATGCACCACGAGTTGCGACTATGGACACCTGGTTGGCCCAGACTTCAGACACCAAAAGGCAAGCCAACATCACTGATCCGCCAATTCGCTGGCTCAAATATTCCAGGGCCTGAGCAAGTTCAGCCAGAGCTCAAGAGAAAGAGAGAGAGAGTGAGTGAGTGAAGTGAGTGAGTGAGTGCGTGAGTGAGCGAGTGAGCGAGCGAGCGATCCAGCGAGCGCGCGCGCGGGAAACCTAAGTTGCAGACCGATTCTGGACCGAAGCCTACTCAAGACTGCAGTTGAATGTGCCAGCGCCTTTGAAGTTTTCTGGATCCTCGAACTTTTGCCGGAGACTCGACCTTGTAATGTTGAACAGATGTTTGATAGGGGATCCGTTGCATGCTGTGACTTCTTCACGCAGTACGTTTTGCACAGCGGAAATTAATAATGACAGGCAGGACCTTGTTCGCTTCATTCTTTGTTTGTCTCCTTGCCTTCCTTCTATCACTTCTTTTCATTCTACAAATTTGTCTTGTTCCTTACACCTCGTGCCGCCCCTTCTTTGTTTCTTTTGCACAGAGTTCTCTGCCGCTTTTGCGTTGCTTGCAGCCTCTTCTTCTGGGCCGTCAGCTGGACACCTGCGTTCCGCTCGGGTCGGCTCCATTCGGCTCGCGTGCTCGTTTCCAGGAGCTGAAGTCCAAGGTGGGCACCAGCATGGCGGGTGCCATTCGCGAGTTCGTGGGCAAGGAGGACTACGACATCAACGATGTGGCCACGAAAGTCGAGGACCCTATGCATATGTCAGATTTGACAAGTGCAAAACAGGAATTGGAATACCTTGCAACCTTCGACTCGCTCTTCCCTTGTGCCAAGTGACCAAATCAGTCGCCTATTTGGCCTTTAGGAGCGTGTTAGTTCGGCTGTGACGAACCTGGAAAACGTGTACCTCACTGCAGACGCAGCCAAATCGGCGCCGGAGGGCACTACTCCTATCATCCTCTCCGATGTGGTTAGGCCCGGATGCGGACCGACGCCTATTGAGCAAATCACCCATACTGACTGCTCAATTGTTTCTGGTTCAGCTCACTGGCGGCCCGAGCATTTTGCTCTGTCCAAATCCTAGCACTGTCAGGCCAGTGGCCGGCCAGATGAAGGAGGCTGGCAAGGAGGCAGTGCTTGCCTTTACCGGCAAGGAGGACGGGTGCTGATGTTGGAGCCAGGCCAATGGAGCCAATAGGCACCATGTGCAATCTCCTTGCTCGCTCCCTGAGCGGCTTCCTCCCGCACTGTGCCTCACATGTTAGTAGGAACCTGGCCAGCTTTTTCGCAAGGTTACAAAGGGTTGACCACCAGCAGTGGGATTCCTTTCTTCGGATTTGGGCCACACCCTCCAATGAATTTCACAGTCCCAAGGCTCCTTTCCTGTGTGGACCGTAGGACTACAAGTTTGGGGACATTAGCAAAGAGGCCGCCAGCCGCGCGAAGACGGCAGTGGCCAACTTGCTTGGCCAGGACGCAGGTTTTCTCTCGGCTCTTGAAGCCCAGCATGAAAAAACGGGTGACGCATGAGCAACGGTCAACGTTGACCATTCAATTGCTAGGAGGATTATGGGCGCTCACCACTCCGCCATCAGAACATTGGGGTTGCTCACTAAGATCCCATATCAATGGGGGAAATGCCAATGCCTGTGGCTCACATGATGTCAAGTACTGGGGAGGGCCAAGTTCGTGGCAAGAACTTCTGCTACTGGAAGTGCCCATTCGATGCGCGGCAGGAAGAGTACAAGTTCGGGGATGTTACCAAGCAGGCGGTCAACAAAGCCATGGATGCCGTTTCGAGCTTTACTGGAAAGGAGGATTACAAGTTCGGAGACATTACCAAGTCCCTGCTGAGGACGCTGTGATAAGTTTGTTCGACTGACTGCAACTGCAACTCTCTGGCAACCTTTTTCTTTTGCAGCACGTTTTCCGAGGAAGGCGCTGGATTATTTGGAAAGCGACGATGAGAAGGAGAAGAAGTGAGCTCTCACTCTGGCTGCTTTGCAATTGCGGGTAGCGGAGTGGGTGGCGCAGTTGCTTCGACGCTTTGTTTCGCAGCAATGTGCCCCCAACGTGTGCAAGTGCTGAACAAGCAGGCGATGCACTTGCCAGATGCAGCTGCGAGCTTTTTTCTTGGGCCGCGGAGTCTGAATTTGAGCGGCATCGTTTCGACTCAATTCTTTAATTGAAAGACTCACTCATCATTCATGCTTTCGCAGTCAAGTGTGGAGTAAAACATGTGCGCAGATGCAGAGTATATAGCAGTGTCATGCTTCAAACACAGGCCCAGAAATGAGCAGCTCATGGCATGATGACAGCTTTAGGAAGCAGCAATGTTTGTCGGTACTTCGACACAGACCCGCATTTGCAACTTCCCGGAATGGCGCACTGGTTTCACTCCGAGAAGGCGACAAGTTTGACCACGCAAGGCGAGGGATGATATGTCCCAGCAGCTGTGGACCAAGCTAGGGAAGGGATTCAAGCTTGCACCAGTGTTGCTGTCCTGAGATTTCCTTGCTACAGTACAGCCTTTCGCATTCCTAGCACTTGAGGCTTGGCCCTAGAACTCCCTACCCCCGATCTGTGCTTCGCAAAGGCAGTGATGGGGAGTGGATCAGAGTTCATTGTTTGCCATTCCGAACCCAAGGCCGGGAGATGATCTTGGCGGGTCTGAAGCTGCCGTGCGCTCATTCTCAGAAAGTTCTCGCTTGGGGGGTTGTGGTTCTTGGGTAGAGCAAGCAATAGTTAAGCAGGCAAGACTTCGCCCCCTGCACAAGCACAACGTTTGGAATCACAACGTTTGGAATCATGGGATGGCTGAGCAACACCCTAGCCTGTGAAAAACAGCCGGCCACCGAAAAGCCAGGGACGGGGCTTGTTTGTCCTTCGCTCTCCTCTTCGCCTGCGCAAATTCCGCTGCCAGTTTGTTCCAAGGCCAGCAGTGAACATGGAGGCCAGGCTGTGCGAAAGTGGCTGTTAGCAACAAGCTAATGAGAATGAAGGGCTTCGTTGTTGCTTGTCATGGTGAGGTAACTGGAATTCGACTGCCTAGTGTCCCGACACATGAAAGCTGATCGCTTGCATCTTAGTTTTTCCCAAAGTCAGCACCTTCGCCTCTTGTGGTCGGCTTGCGCTTGCTACGCCGGGTGTACATCCTTGAGACTTTTAGCCAATTGAACAGTGGTGACAGTGCTGGGGAAAGAAAAACGGCATCAAGCGCTCCAGGTAGAGGTCCTGCCATGCCGGAAGTGCCCTGGCTGGTGCCTCGCGCTGATTGGATGTGCAAGTTATCGAAGTGTCGTGCGGGGTCTTTGGATGCCCAAAACAATTCCAACTAACGACTCATGTCACTGTTGACTCAAGTCTTTTACGACATTCTTATCCACACTGCGTAGCTGAGTGTTTCGTTCGCAGAAGTTTGATTAGGCTGTGAACCCACAACTTGTGAGATACTTTGGACTGACCAGTGCAGACTTCGGATGCATTCTGCCATCCTTTTTTCTCTGTAGCATTTTGTTCTTTAAGTCTTCGCTGCCTGTTGCACTGCACTGCTACACTGCCAGGTGAGACGAGGCAGAGCTTAGCACTTTGTTGACGACCGTTTGTTAAAATACTGTTGCAGCCAGCAGTTTCGGATGTATTGGTCGAAAGTGATGCCTCCAGACTCTCAAAGAGTGGGCACACAGCATGTTTCGAAAATTGGACAGGTGAGCCCTCCGTTGAGAGCCAAGAGGCGTGAGCGCAAGAGATACCTTGGCGTGTGCTCGATCCACGATTGTGTGCCGAACCAATCATGTGCCCGTCAAGTTCTAGAGGGAACACTAGACTCAAATATTGGGGGAAACCCCAGCATGGAGAACAATGAAACCAGGCGTGTGCTCTTACTTTCCAGCTGGCGCAATGTACCAGACATGTCAGACTTGATGCGGCCAGGGGCCCATCGAAATGCCTAGGCGGGGCACGGGAATGGGGTCTGGCTTGAAATCGCTGGATTGGTACTCAATGCCCACTCTTCTTTTGCAGGCTCCCTTTTCTTAATGCGCCATGCAGCTTCCGCCGCCGCTAGGAGAGAAGCTTTGGCGTGGAACGAGGCTGGGTGGCAACACAAGGAGACGCTGCATGGGGCTCTGCCGAGGCCTCCCCTTCGCAAACATCTTTGTGTGGCGCCTGGACGGGCATGCTAAGGTGAAGTTTGGAAGTTTGGCACTGGCAGTTGGTTTTCTCCCGAATCATCCCTCTCAGGTCCTCTGAAAGTCTGCCGAAGGCTCGCAGTGAAGCATCTATCCGCACGCATCAAGTTTGAGGTTGTCGGATACTCTGAGAGAGATGGGTGAATGCAGGAGCTTTAGGGAGGGGCTTTCACCCTTTCGCCCAAAACGATAGCTTGTTTGTTATCGTTTGTGATACAGGGACGTTTCTGACATTCTCTGAGTCTGAGGCGTTTGTGTCAGGTGGTGAACAAGCTGGCATCCCGTGAGTTCAGTGTTGGTGCATGTGGCTGCTCACGTCTTTTACTTACACACAAACAACCATTCTTTAGCTGCACTGTGCAGTAGCCCAATGGCTTTTTTGCCAGCTCATGGCATAGCATTCAAGCATTCTTGCAGGACCTTGCTTGCAGGTAAACACATTCTCGCAACAGCCAATATTTGTTCAATGCAGTAGTCGGTGAAGAATGCGGCCAACAGTCGATATATACTGTATATATATTATATATACACTATATACTTGTGTATAGAGAGGTCATATACATGATGCTACGCAAAGCCCTTGGCACCCGATGCCCACACTTTGGCAGATACATGTAGGGGGAAAAGCGTTGAATGTCACTTGCCGCAAGCGATCTGGGAGAGGAGTCAGACTTTGGGAGCTACCAGCTCTCCCGAATTGATGTTATGCGAGTCCTGCATGCAATGGCCAGGGTGACGTTGCAGTTCGGGCTCGTGAGGCAGGGCATCGGCACACTTTCTTCACTGGTTGAGGGGATACACGGGTATGTGTGTTTTGAGGGTGGCCTTTTTGGCTCAAATAAAAACAAGAGGAACGCACCATTGGTCGGGTCCCTCTATCTTGACACATACCCACACACACACACACTCTATCAAGATGATTTGCAAAACTAACATCTCCATGGCATGCGCGGGCAGCAACCAAGCACAATCACACCCGTGCCGGGGACCCTCAGGGCACTCGCCAGGCCAGGAGTTGCTGACTCCAAGAAGCAAGCCATTCAAATACCAACAGGAGGACAGAACGAAGCTTTTTTGCAACTGGAACCGACAAAGACGCCCAAACGAAGAGCAACACAGCTGGTCACTGGCAACGAGCCAACAGGAACAAAACGGATCGATGTGTGTGTGTGTGTGTGTGTGTGCACGCATCGGGTGCTTGCATTAGATGCGGACACATGAACATGGAAATGCACCCATTGGCTTGAGCCTCTTTTTTGAAATCGCTACACGATCCACCGACGCCGGTGCAAGGGATTTTAAGACCATTTTCATTTTGCCATGGAAGTGATGCTGAGGATGCTGGAAATGCAAGGGATGCAACCACACAACGTACAGGAACAGACTCAATCCTCGCATCCAAAACTTTAGAGCCCCCGGCTCAGTCCGCCGACATTGTCCTCTCCCTCTTCTCCTTCTTCCTCTCTCCCTTGTCTCCTCCCCCGCGTGTTCTGTCGTCCTCTCTCCCTCCCTATGCTCCCCACCATCCCCTCCTCCATCTCCCTGTCTCTGTCTCTCTGTCTCTGTCTCTGTCTCTCTCTCTCTCTCTCTCTCTCTCTCTCTCTCTCTCTCTCTCTCTCTCTCTCTCTCTCTCTCTTCTCTCTCTCTCTTCTCTCTCTCTCTTCTCTCTCTCTCTTCTCTCTCTCTCTTCTCTCTCAAATAGACTTTCAAAAGCACGATAATGCAGGGGATGTTTCGCAGCAACTGCTCCGTACAGTTAGGGAATTGCAAAAAACACTGATTTTTGGAAATTGAAACAGTTCCTCAACGTATCACGGCACTTGACCCCACCCAGGATCCTGATGATGCTGGGGATGCAGATCCTGCGCGCCCCTAGAGACCTAGGCAAAACGCAGATGTTTAAAAAAGACCAAGTTGCGGACTGCCATCTACACGCTCGACTGGCGTCGGCGGATTTTTTGTGCATTTGCGTTTGTGTGGCTGCCTTTGTGCGCGAAAAGTGCGTGCGCCTGCTTCTGGCAAGTGCTTGCGCTCAAGCACGCGCATGTGCGTTGTGCGCGTGATATGCATGTGCAGAAGCGTCTCAATCGCAAACTCAATTCCACATTGGTTACCAATTTTCGCGTTGCGCGTCCAGAGCAGCATCCCCAAAGCATTGCGGACGTTCGCGCCATAAAAAAACCGGCGCATGTCATTTTCCCTGCTGAAGAACAAGACCTTCGCAAAGGCTTGTCGAACTCAATTGGCTGAGACGCGCAAGATAGCCGCAACGACGATGTTGGCAACTGTTGCTGATTTGCACGGACTTGTGCGTTGTTTCAGTTCACCACTTTTGCTTCGTGTCGCAGGCGAAATCGCGGACGTACGGATTCGAAGCGAACCTGGTAACATCCAGGTGTTGCGGAAGGAACGTGTCAATGGGGCCCCTTCACATTATGCGCATTCCGTGGCTGTTTTGATGGTGATCGTTTTCGGTTATGTTGGGGCCCCAAACATGTTATGTGTAAATGCTTCAGGTCCCACACTGGTGTACCACTTTGGCCCAAGTCGCACGCGTAGCACCAGACGGTTGATGCACGTACCACGGTCCGAACTGGGCAATGCGACCTAACCCCTTATACACCCTGAGCCACCATTGCTTGACGTTACACTGAACGGTGCTTGTCCAACCCTAGGAGCATCCTGGCCTTCCGAACACAAGTGCGACTCAGCGAAGAGGTACTCGTTTACAAGGCATCATGTCTTAAGACATGATATTGTCCCTGGCAGGTTATCAGCCGTATCACGCGGCTC